ATACATTCATACATTCATACATTCATACATTCATACATACATACATTCATACATTCATACATTCATACATACATACATGCACACATACATACATCCAACTATCCATACATACATACATGCATACATACATAAATACACATACGCGTATAGTATGGTTAGAAATGCAGATAAAGACAGTAGACGTAGAGGCAACTAGACCGAGAGTGTGGAGGAGAGAGGGAGTGTGAAGGCCAGTGTTGTTTAGACGACCGGTTCGGGGTAGCAGGGCGTCGGGAGGTAGGCAATTGTGGTTGAGGCGGGCCAGAGGAAAGGGGTTGCCTGACCGGCATCGGACGAGCGCAAAGACAGGAAGCCGACCTGCGTAACGGCAAGACTGGACGGTTAAATGTTAATAAAGTTGGTCATAATGATTGCCGGCCATCGCAGACGTCTGCATGTACACATAAACAGGCCATCGAGTTGGCCGACTCACGACAGGGGAGGCATTGTGGCATGCCGAAAGGGGGGAGGAGGCCAGTTGACGTGGTGACACCGAGGGTGGCAACCGAGGGTGAAGAATGAGGCAAGAAGAGGGCGTGTGGAATAGAAAGAGGATAGGCGGCTATCGAGACAGAGACAGAGAGACAGAGAGACAGAGAGAGAGAGAGAGAGAGAGAGAGAGAGAAGCCGGATAAAGCCAACAGACCGGGTTTGGATGAGGAGAGGGCTGAGTCTTGCCAAGGTGGGTCGGGCTAGGTGTGGAGGGTGGGGGAGGGGTGGGCAAGTGAAACCAGGAGTGTCTGGGCGAAAGTTGGAAAAAGCATGGGAAGATTAGTTGGCAGGCCTGCACTAACTGCAATCGCAGCCACTCTCACTCGCCCGCTGGTTCACACCCAGCCGGAAAATCACACACACACACATTTGTGCATGTGTGTGTGTGTATGGGTGTGTATGTATGTATGTATGAATGTATGTATGCTTAGGTGTAGAGTGGTAATTATTAGAAATTTTGTATGTAAACACATACACACAAAGAGGCAAGTAGGATAGAGGGAAGGACAACGACACCGACATACACACAAATACATGCGCACGCATTCACGTGCACACCGACACGGCGAGAAAGAAAGTAATCCTCCGCTGCATTCGCTTGGTTGTCGGCAGGGATCAATAGCCGTCCGGCCGGGATCACTGTCTCCCACCGTCGGAACCGGTCAGGCGTGTGCACAGTCGACGCGTTTTGTAGACTTGCCGACACGAAAAGGGATCGGATCAGACTGGCTCGACCGGTTGAATGCTGCATGAGGCTGGG